CGATCTATATTATTATGTGAGTTCCATTTTATTTCTACGAATAGGAAGAATAAAAATGAAAGAATTGTTGAAATAAAATAATATTCAAAATTCAGCAAGTAAATTTTAAAATGCATATTACAGCATCATTATCGAGTAAAGGAAATTATAATATTTAGAAATTTTGAGGTGCATTGTTCATTGATTCGGAAACTAGAGACGAAGATAGATATCATTTTTTCCAGTCTCTGAATCTCCATTGATGAACAAGAAAATCCCGTTATATTCATAAAACTGAAGTTTTGATCAGATATGATCAGAAACAGCTCCGACCTGAAGAGAAGGGCAAAGTAGTCAAATCGAATTTAAGATGAAAATGGGATATCCAAATACGTCTGTCTCTTTCCCTTCACTCTTTCAGGGGCAATACCAGCGTTCATCCAAAAATAATTCGCGATTGATTCAGTCATCCGCTTTAAATGAGTAAATATCATGGCAACATTTATTTTTCACTTCAGCATTACCAACCGGAGACTGCAGCAGGAAAATGAAAGTACCTCCACAATATATTATACGTTTTTAATTATTATTTATGAGTTATTCAAACACCACAAAGCAATAAAGATTACACTCAGCAAATATTCTACCCAACAGTGAAAATTCCCTCAAAAACTATGTTTTCTCTGTTTGTTGTATTCACCCAGTTCCGCATCCAATTCTTCTGCTGTGGGNATTCGGAGATGATAAGGTTCATTGTAAATTTTAATTGAGGTAGGTACATACCGGGTGATTCTCTAAGGTGGCTCACCCCTAAAACTTTTTGATAATTGGAGATAGAAAAATGAAATTGGAGAGTTGTGTTCAATTTACATTTTTTAACATATTTACTTGCTCTTGCCGTACTTCTGCTTTGACCGAAAATGACCCCAACTTTCGATTTTAAATGGGACATCCTATATATTTTTACTTATATCGGTGGAGAATGACATTCTTTACCTGTCAATATTTGACAAATGAAATCATTTTCATTACAATTTTAATTTTTGTATCTACAATGTTATGGATCGTGTAAATCGATTCATTCTTGATCAAGTAACATGCGAAACTACGTATTTGAGGCTTATGACTTCACAGTCATTTTTAGAATTATTCCACAATCGCAAATACGAATTTTTTCAGTTAACTTGATTTTTTCGAATGGAATAGGGATGGCTTGTCGGCTTTTTGTGAAAGATCATTTTCATACGAATAATTTGATGTCACACACTTTTACTTTATTTTCTATATTTTTATAAATAATTGCAAAAAACGATCATACCTAATAATACATTCGGTATACTTATCCGTGACAAACAATTGAAGCTGCTGCTAGGACTGTCTAAACAAATAGGCTAAGAATATGCTCTCACTTTTAAAAATTTACTTGTTGTGTAGCTTATAATTAGATATGGCAACTTATACTAGAAACAAGAAAATTTACATATTGCCAATTTACGGAGAAACAAACAATAATGCAACCGATGCAGCTCGAATTTATACCTATCAGCGACTATCAGGGAACCTATCCCTGATAGTCGCAATCCCACTCGGCATTATTTTCCAAAACTGGAAAGAAAAATGCGAACTGAACCAGAAGAACCAGTTAGAAAAAGAAGTAGACGTGTTGGCCAATGTTGAAGTGAATTATACGGCGTCAATTGGCCAAATTGCTTCTGAGTGTGATATAAGTTATTTATCCATTTGGAGAATTCTTCACAAATATAATTATCGATCATTCAAGTACCAACTACACCAACATCTTCACAATTACGATCACATCCGATGATTGACTTATTGCAAATGGTTTTTGACTGAATACAGAGAAGATGTACGTTTTCGATTAAAATTATTTATTCAGATGAAACCCGACTCACCAACTTGGGTATGTTCAATAGGAACAATAAAAGGTACTGGCCTCAAAAAAATTTACCTCTGATGCAAGAAGGAACTTTTCAAGAGCGACTTGGTTTCAATTGCTGGATGGGAGCATTATCGGAGGAAAACTTTTGGGGTCAATAATTTTCGACGAACAACTGACTGCGGAAAGATATCTACAGTTCTTCAGAACTAAAATTATTGATATCATTGAAGATTTGCCACTAGCTAACCAAGTTGATGACTATTTTCAACAATATGGAGCGCCACCTCACAATTCTCAAGTCGTAAGAGAATGACACCTTTCCAGAAAAGTAGATTGGCACTTATGGACCTATTCAGTGACTTGCGAGGTACATTTTAGAGTTGTCATTTTTATACATGAATGTATTATTTCTTTTTCATATTCTAAATCACATCGACTACTGAAGAACTAGAGCATAAAGTAAGGGTGGCATTCCAAAACATCACTGAGGAACAGCTATTCAATGTGATGTGCGCAACAATTGAAAAAGTTGACTTTTGCCATGATCAAGGAGGAGGCCATTTGAAATTTTATAACCTCAATGGAATAATTTGCGACTTTCTTGCAATTACTCATAAAAATAGGGAAAATAAAGTGAACGTGTGTGGCATCAAATTATTCGAAAGAAAATGATCTTTCACAAAAAGCCGACGAACCACCCCCTTTCCATTTGAAAAAATCAAGTTAACTGGAAAAATTCATCTTTGCGACTGTGAAATAATTCTTGAAACGACTGTGAAGTCATAAGCCTCAAAGTCGTAGTTTTCCCATGTTATTTTATCAAGAATGAAGCGATTTACACGATCCATGGCATTCCAGATCAAAAAATAAAAAATTGAAATAAAAATGATTTCGTTTATCAAATATCAACAAATGTAGTATTGTTGGATTAAAAATATTATTCTCGATGGAAATGAGTAAAAATATATAGGATGTCCCATTTAAAAATCGAAAGTTGGGATCATTTACGGTCAAACCGGAAGTAGAGCAAAGCAAGTATCTATGTCAAAAAAAGTGAATTGAACAGAACCTCCAAATTCCGTTTTTTTATCTCCACTAATAAAAACGTTATAGTGGTGAGCCACCGTAGAGAAGCACCCGGTATATCACTTTATAAATGCCTGTTAACGTATTTGTACCTGAAAGTATCCAAAATATATACAAAATCATTCAGAAAACTTGCGACTCAGCAGAATACAGATGTTCATTCATATGATCAGCTAATTACATTAATGAAACCAGAACAGACACACTTTTATAATTTTTCAATGGGACTTCTTCCTACAATCTCCTGTACTATTTGATCGGGTTTCCTTCAAATATTTGAGTTGTCTATTAATTTCCCATCTTACGGTCCGTTGCCTCACATTGTCAGCTGAATACCTCCTTTACGCAGCGTTGTTTCATCAGATTGTCTTCTAAATATTTATCGTAATTTCCGGAGGGATTATTTTTGGACCAGTTTCTCTTGACCTCGTTAATCCTTAGCTCGCACAAGTTTCGACTTCTGAGAGTTGTCGTTCGTAGGGGTTCGACAGCTGGTTAACGGAAAAACAGATTTTTTTTCATACTTTTTCATTTTTTTGCTGAATGACTTTCGTCTGCTATTTGTGTTTTTTTACTCTTTCCATTCCACAGTCTTTTTTGTGGCCCATGGTCATGTTCTTTTTTTTCAGCAGTAATCTTAGATAATACAGCTATGCTTTCGACTACCACAGAGAAATAGTTTTCCGAGAATCAGCATACTTGCTCTCAGAATCCTCTCCATTTTCATTTTTCTCCTAACGCACCCAATTTTCATTTGCTTTGTTTGGGTTTTGCCATTCATCTATTCTTCCTTCAGTATGGGTTACTCAATGCCTTAGGTTAGTCTGAAAACCATAAGCCGATTTCACAGCTTGGCTTTTCAACAGCGATCCCTGCATCTTGATTAGGAAACTTCGTCTTTTCTGTCCATGCAATCAACAATCAATCATCTTCATTGTACAGAAAACTTCACAGTTCCATAACAACATGGATTCACCTAATTGATTGGGTTTTCTGAAAACCACACTTCCTAAAAGAAAATTATCCTATTTTGTCTGCTTCTTAGAAGCTATCTGACACGTTTATTTTCTTCAAATCTCATGGATGTACTGCAAAATCATGGATTCATTCCATCTTTACATTCTATTCCTATAATCCTGTTCCTTATCTTCGTTCCTGTGGGTCACTCTCCTGCAGCTGAGATCTCCGTTGAACAGCCCCATTTTATTCAGAGATTCTCTTATGTGTTGCCCTATAATCATTCCCTGCTGATTTCGAACAGTAAATTGATTTTTACAGGAAGTTCCTTCATCAAGATTTTTCTATATCGGGAACAACATATGGAACTGATGATCGTGTCTAGAATACTAATCATCTTTTTCATTGTATTCAATTCCTGATAATTCAGGTACAGTGTTTTCCGATCTGATTTGATGTGTTTTTTTCCTAACCAGCTGACCAAGACCAATCTCTTTGTCACTCTTGGGATCATAGAAATAGAGTCCTCTTTGAACATCCTAGATGGAAGCCCCTCTGAAGAAGCTTACCACGTGTACAACCGTGGTTGTACCTATTTGCTACCTCGAATGACTTCTTCAAAAGATTCAATATTTTTTTGTTCTTTTCTGTTTACAAACAATATCTAGTCTATCCAAGAAGTATTGTTGGGCTAAGAAGTTAATTCTGCATCATTCACATTCTAGCCTTATAGATGAAGAAGAGTTTTGGACTCAGGATAAAACTCTGTTGACAATAGACAAAAAAAGAATGAAATGTTACACTTTGTCAAGAAGTATTCTCAATTTTATTGAGCCCGAATAATATTGAGGCAGGTAGATCAATACACCTGATTCGTTGCAACCAACCTCAGTCATTTTTACACTGTTGCTACTTTTGGTTTTTGCCCTCCATTCACTGTAAAACGATTCACAGTTACACCTCCTAGTCATTCATTTTCAATTAATAAATTTATTTCACAAGCAAAAATGGAAATCACAAACCGCCTCTTCAATTTCGCAGATTCAAGGCCTGAATAATTTTCTCCTGGAATATTCTACAAGAATATCACGCCCGGAAGATCATCAGCAAGTTCGCTTCTTCATAGAAAAACTCAAACAACACCGCCCCTTCACTGCCAGTGGCGTATTCACCTTGGATCTTGGAATTGCAGGACCGGTAACTACAACACTTCTATAATCAATCAATCAATTCAGATACACGAAGGTCACCTTTTGAATTCTCACAAGTAAAAAAAGTTGGAATTAGAATGGAACTTTTTATAGTATCTCAAAAGATACTACTTCAGAGTCGACACACTGTTGCATGCGTTCAAGTAGATTCTCAATTTAGTTTTTCCACTCTGTAGTTGAAATCGCAGTTAATGAGTTACCAATACCTGTGCATGCTGAAAGAACAATAGTTTGAAAGTTCCGTATTGTTTAGTTCAATAATGGCTGGAAAAGCAATATTATCTTCACAAACGAATCAATCATCAGAACAAATCATTCATGGTGCTTTCTTCGTTCATAGTTAGATCCAAACCCATTGGTTTCAACAATCAAGAAGTCTCCGAAATATAGTAGACGTTTGCAAAAAGACAAAAAAATCAACTGGTTGAGAGGTTACTTGAAAATGTAGTTTCATTATACAAATTGGAAGTTGATTGTTGATATTTTGATGAGTTTGTTCACAAAAAACTGGAAGGAAAACATGGCTGATGCTACCGCACGATCACTGAAAAAATTTGTGATGAAAAGGCTCATTTAATCTCTCAATCAATTATTATTTCGAAATGAAACTTGCATTGCCATGGTGCAAAATGATAGGATATGTTGTTTTTCCTAATTTTGACGAAGATCTTTGGCAAACAAATTGTAATTTTTATTCACCGTTAACTGTTCTTTGATGCTCTGAAGGAAATGCAGAAACAGAAATACCCACATAGTAGATAATGGTTTAGTTTTTGATTCATACGACAGATGACGAAATGTATCGTCATCTGTCACAATATGTACACAAATTTTGCATTACTTCAGTTGAATATTTCAAACATATCCACGAACTTCTTTAGATATCTTCCACAGAACAGATCTGATCACAAAAGAAGAAGGATAAGATCATATTAGTGAAGTGAAGAAAATCAAAATTGCTTTCCATCACTCAACTTTCAAGTTTTGAGCCGATTATCAATGTTTCAAGAAAATGTCTGATGATATCACTTCTATTAGATTCGAAGTTAAATTTAAGTTTATCCTGACTGGAGAAAATGAATTTAAGTGTGAAATTTCTCAAACGTACATTGTAATATCAAATGAGGTTTAATCAAAATGCAGTGAACCTTCCATAATTTCAAAAAAATTGAAATCTCTACGTCAATCTTGAAATTTCACGATTGATCAGGAAGTGAATGGAATAGAAGGAACTTTTGTTCTGCCATCTTTTCGAAACATCCCATAAAGGGTTGAATACCTTGTTTGATAATGAATTTTAAATTTTGGATATCCTACTGACGTTAATTCTACCTGAATTTTATTTTTTTTAGTGCAACCTAAACTAATAGTAGGTAATAATAAATATTTTGAAAGTTTTCAAATTTTCAAACGTGGACAACATTATTAAAAATACGTAGGACACTGATGCTATCAATATCTGACGCGCTCGAGTATGTCCATACATATTTAAAAATCTGTAGCCGCTTCCCCCACCGATGAAAAGGTATACATTATATAACATTTTTTTCTTCTTATCATCTAAGCTTTGCAACGTAATATGTCTCAATGACGCTCTAGTAAATCCTCATTTGCATCGTGGGCTCCCCTGCTATTGGGCGTCATAATATCGTGTGTTTATATCTATGAGATTATCTAATTTTCCATTCAAGTAACAAAGCACACTTATTTGTGTCCTATGAGTTCATAGTGAATGACTTTTGATTTCAAGTAGAACTTCAAGAAAAATTTTGTTTCAGATTTCCGCCAATATATTGACCTACGTGCTGGTCGCTTTGCAGTTTGATCTACCAGAAGAGTGATGTGTTGACTACACATTCAGGATTTCTGGCAATAAACAGTTTGTTTTTCTCATCAGCCCCACTCATTTCCTATCGTGATGGATCAAGAAAGTATAGAGGCGTAGTCTGTCAAGTTGATTCATTCCAGTATCTTTGTATTTTTTCAAATGTAATACTAGTAATGAAGGTGAAATATATATTTGAGTTCACTCACAGTCCTGTTCAAAGCACACAAGTCAATAAAAATATTCTCCAACAGTCAAGCGGCGTTGGAAGCTCTTGGCTCCCACCAAGCAACATCTAAATTGGTAGCAAATTGCCAAACATAACTTTCCTTGATAGGAAGACTCAACACAGATTTGCAGCTGCCTACCATTCAGCAGTCCATTCAATCAAGGAATCGACAAGTTTTTGATTTCGCAGGAACTCACGATAATCCGTCAGTTAGGGAAGCTATAGACTATGCTGTAGACGACCCCTTCCGATATAGAAGGCCCTGACACTCTGTCAAATGAGGCCCTCATCTCACCCCAGCCAGGTAGGGTCTGGTCTGGATGCCTGGCCATAATGGCCTGGAACGCAGTGAGACTGCTGAATACCTCGCAAAGGAGTGTGCTGCAAGCAAGTTCATAGGACCAGAACCTCTCATTGGCAGAGTCTGAAGCGATGCCAAACAAAGATTGAACACCTGGATGACAAGAAGATTTATGGACTTCTGACAGAATTTTCCAGGAATGGCTCATTCCAAGGCGTTTATTCACCCTTCGAAGCTTGATACCAAAAAGTTGTTGGACTACAGTGGGAATGAATAACGATGTCTAACAGGCCTTCTTACAGGTCACTGTCGGAAGTCAGTGTGTGTCGCCTCTGTTTGGAAAATGAAGAAACAGCAGAGCACATACTTTGTGCTTGCCCCTCAGGGGATCAAATCAGGCTTTTAGAGTTCGACAGAGCCTTACTTTCACCATTTGACCTGAAAGACCACTCACCATACAAACTAATCGGCTTCGTTTAAACTGGGTTTATTTGGTTGAGTGTAAATAGGTGTGAGCCACAATAAACCCTTGCGGGTTGCGGTGCAGGATCGAAAAGACCCACTCACTTTGGATCTAACGTAACCTAACCTGTTCAAATCATGCTATGAAAAGTAACAGGTCAAAAGTTCACAGTATTATGAGTGAAAGGTAATGTTGGAGTGTTTTGTAAATCTTTTATAATATGTATAAGTTAGCTGTGAAAAAAATAGATAAGACAAAAAATTGGATTTTAATTTGGTTTTTCAAGACTGGATATTTCCAATAATATCTAATTTACAGGTAAAGTCAGAACATATGGTTCTTCGAGACTGGATATTTCCAATAATACCTAATTTACAGGTAAAGTCAGAACATATGGTCCTTCGTTGCCTATACCGGGTGTCCCATCTAGTATAATTGGCCATGTCTAATTATAAACTACACAACAAATGAATTTTCANGCGCTGATTCGGCGACTTGAAGCATGTGTGGCAAGTGCTGGCCAACATTTTGAACATTTTCTGTAGTATCATGTATCAAAATACAGATGACCTTAAACATTAATATTTCATTTGTGTTTTTATTTTCTATGATTCTGCATGTCATTCTACCTACCATGATACATCATTGACCGAGAAATGAAAAAGACTGTAAGTTGAACCAAAACAAACATGGGCGTGCCATTTGAAAAACAAAAGTTAGGGGTGGTTTCTTGGGGGTTGTTTACCAGGGGGTGGATTTTGCTATGCTGCATGAAAGTGCTTGTGTTCTCCTATGATACATATTTTTGTTTTAATTTTTGTTCTGCAGGTAACTGAGATATCTGCTGGCCTAAAAGCTCTGGGACACCCGGTATAGAACAACAATTTGGTAATACAAAGCAACTAGTATGTCTGAATTGAGAACAAGTAAACGATTCGCCGAAAAAAGAAATCAAAAAGACGCAGAAAATAATGCTGAAGCCGATGAGAAGATAAACATACCAGAAAAAATTTGCACAGGTAAGAATTGAAATGTGGTATAATTCTAACATCTCAAGCACACTAGATAGCATTTTGGATACCAATGCAATCGTGTCCATCTGAATCAAATGCATTAAATGTTGAAATCATTGTCAAAATTCCACAAAAAAAATGAATATTCAAAATCTACGCCAGCCCTTGAAATTGTATTCTGCGACATATAGAATATTATTCAAATGATATTTTTGGAAATACTATAGAGCGCAGAGTTAGTCTCTTTCGAATATTTTGTTCGACGGCATGTTGCAAATGTATTTTGTACTTGATTCATCGATTTCAATTCAATTCAATAGTTATATTGTAGCATGTACATTTTCGCTACTTTATTTTGTAAATAAATAAAAAAGTTTTAGAGCAACATAGATTTCACTCCGTAACGTAAAACAACAAACATAGATATGTAAAGCTGGTTATCTAAATGGAATGACGAGACAAGTATGCTGTCGTCAGCTAAACAAAATATTGGATTCCAGGTTTTTTCCTATACGTCGTTGATATACAATGAAAAGAGGATTGGAAACAAAATGGATCCCTGGGGAACACCAGCGTCGATGATGAAAGTATTCGAGAGATATCCATCGACTGCCACTGGCACCCATAAACAGAAATGATGGAACATATGAAAAACCCAACATGTTCATTTATAGTGAGCAATTCATCAGCTAGTTTGCTGACTCGGAGATTCTGATAGGTTCCTTGAAACATATCCCACAGAAATATCATTGTCACCCAGATATGCAAAAATATCATCTGAAATTGGTACATTATCCTGAGGTGGGTTGAAGGGCACAACAGGAGTAATAGTAATTGCGTTGCCGACTCTTTAGCCAAGGAAGCGGCTGGACTAAGAATTTTAGGACACAGTGATACACCCATGCTGAATCCCTGAAGAGATGGAATGGAATCAAAAGATGCAGTCTTGCCAGGATCACCCTGAACGATCCTGGAAAGCTGGTACTGAAAAACTATCTAGCGATGGCCAGAAAAAACATACGCTCGACAGAAGGATTTCTGACTGGCCACTGTAAACTAAGGAAACACCTCCATGGGGCTAGTGGACACACCTCTATGCAGGATGTGTGGACAGGAAGATGAAACTCTCAGGTATGTCTTATCGCCAATAAAAAAGTGTTTTTGGCTAGCACCTGCCGATATAAAGGACATGTCTCCTAGTGACCTGTCCACCTTCCTGGAAAGGACATGATGAAAGATGACCTAGGAAGACAACCCGTCGGGAAGATGTACAATAGGTCACATGTGTCCTAAGTTCTGTGGGCCTACACTCCGCCTTCCTATTTACATATACAGAAGTTTACGCCCCAGGAAAAATCAACCTGATCTACAACGGAAGATTCTTAATGCCAACGGTCTTGCCTCTCAGCACCATATTCATTGGCAAGATAAACAAAATCAGCAAATCATACATGTAACTTCTGCTACGATGAAGGATGCTTTACGTTAGGCACGTCATCGACAACTATATTGAAAGTGCTCCAGCTTTCAGGACCGTTATCAAGAACACTGTCATCACTGAAGTTGGTTTGGCCAGCAGCGATGATCTAACGTTGCCATTCACTGATAAACCTAGTCCGGTATTTCTTGTCAACAAATTTTTGGTGTGCCGCAAAATATAGATATACTGGGGTACCCTGCGGAAGAACATATGAACATTACTCGGAAATAACTTTTTTCTCTTCAGTTTGTACTCAAAACAATACTGGAATTGAAACATATATCATCCATGGAAAAGCTTTTTGTTGACAGGCTTTTTCCATATAATCCCTCAAACACATGCATCTGTCACTCGATACTGTCACAAAATTCAAAATGTGAAGGTGACAATGTCTGAAAAAATCCCAAACGTTGCAGCCCTCCTCGAGGAAACCAAAACCATATTCAGGAACCACTTCAACGAGGAACCCTTGCAATACGTTTATGCCCCTGGAAGGGTCAACCTGATTGGTGAACATACTGACTACAATGGAGGATTCGTAATGCCAATGGCCTTGCCCCTAATCACCATAATCGTCGGCAAGAAGAACAATGGCAGCAAGTCTTACGTGTACACTTCCGCTAGTACGGTGGATACATCTCAGGAGGCGATCCTGGATATGGAACACATCACCGACAAGAGTACAGGCCCCAAATGGTCGCTTTACGTCAGAGGCGTCATCGCCAACTATATCGGAACTGCTCCGGCATTCAAGGCTGTTATCCACAGCACTGTCCCAATTGGAGGCGGACTGGCCAGCAGTGCTGCTCTAGAAGTTGCCGTTTACTACTTCTTGGATGAAATCGGTGAACCCAGCAAGGCAACTGTCGTGAACAAAGCTTTGGCGTGCCAACAGGCAGAACATGAATATGCTGGCGTGCTCTGTGGTATAATGGATCAATTCGTTTCTTTCATGGGGAAGACGAGGCAAGCTCTGTTGATTGACTGTCAGAAAATGACGGTGGATTATATTCCGCTGACGGATCCGAGGATTGTGGTTCTCATCACTAATTCTAATGTTAAACACGAATTAACGGGTGAGTTCTCAATATAACATTTTATCCTCTTTTGTTAGGAGACTTCTCAAAGCCAGAAAGCACATATTCACCGACAGCAGGTTGCATATCACAAAAGTGATTCCAAATTGGGATGAAAGTAACCAGGTTCAATTCAATGCCACAAAAACTCAGCTATCGGTTTTCTCCAAGATCTGAACCGGATATGATAATGTCAGAACAGACAATTCCGGTTTTTGCTTCGATAAGTATGTTGGGGTTGAAATGGACACCAATATCTGTTTGAAGGTGGTTGACAATGTTTCCTGGTGTATTTCATCAGTTCGGACTTCCATTGTTTGATATAATATAAATTGATTTGAAAATCCCGGAAAAAAACAATTGAAAAATTAATAACATCAACCGAAAATACCAATTTTATTAAACAAAAAACTGAAATTACAAAGAAATAACATACAAGCAACAACCAAACAAATAAAAATTGAAATAATAATCAGAGCTGAAAAATAAAAATTAAAAATTATTAGTAACAAAATATAAAAAATACAAATTAAAAGATTTCAAACCAAGTTATATCACGACGTTTCGATTCTTAGTATCCACAATCATCTTCGGGTGATAACTGGACTTATTCCTCCGAGATCTGACTATTTATAGGTCGC